TTTATTTTTTTGAGCCTGTAAAAGCATTGCACATATGATCAGCAGATGGTGCATACAATGCAGGTCTCCTACAGACTATCAGTGTATCTGTCTGCTCATACCTTGTACGGGCAGGCAGTTACACAATGACAAGAGGACTCAATGAACTACCTAGAATGCTCACTTGCACCCTATTAGTTGATTGAGAACTACAAGCCATCAGCTGGAAAGGATGTTGGTACTTGTAGTCCATTCATTCACAGAACTCTGAATGAATGATACAGCTGTGTGGGTAGCATGTTCTTTTTTTAAATTGTGACAGCGGGTGCAGGGAGAAGATCCCCAGCCTGTTGGCAAAATTAGCAGGGGGATCCTGGAGAGGCTGCAGGAGTGGGAGCATGTTAAATTTTCTAGGGTTGAACATGTAACATGTTCCCAAAGGTGAATTTATCCATTAACTTTGGTCAACCCTGCACCCATTGTTTTTGAGCCAGATCAACATTTACTGGCAACAAATAGCTAGCTACATGAGGAAAAAACGGTGGTAACTAGGTAGAATTTTTTTCATCTCAATCCACTGTATTTGCCTTGAAAGAGATCACATGTTTATTGCTGAGCAGCCTGCACAAACTTTGTTTCAGAGATAAGGTCTCATTTACACAGGGTGTACTACAGTATACGCCCATGCGAGAGCCATGTTGATCCACAGGGGGATCCACAGGTGTTCTGTGCAGTTGAAGATCCTGCAACATCATTTGCTTGTTACCTGCAATGCCAATTTTGGTAAAAGGTAAATTAACCCTTTAAAGCTACAGTAAAGATGTAAAGCCTCTTAAAACAAGTGGGGCACAAACTATTTTTTTTTAGAACAAGCTAGATTCAATCTATTTATAGAAGAAGCAAAGCACACCTTACCTACACAGGCAGTTTTTTTTAGTAACGTGAACCAACCCTTTAAGTGCAACACAAACTTTCAACTGTCCTTATTAAGTTAATTTCTACCTCAGATGTGAAACAAATACAAAACCAAGGTGAAATAATTTTGTTTTCACAAGTCCAGTCATAAGATGAAATAACCATAGGTTAAACCTATATGAATCCTCCTGTTGACTTAAGGGTGAGGATCAAACTATCTACATTACTGTTGACACTTGAGCCAGATAAACATTTACTGGCAACGACTGGCTAGTTTCATACTTTGAGGCATAGAGGTGGTAACTAGGACAGATTTATTTTTCATGTTGACCCACTATATTTGCCTTGAAAGAGAACACGTTTATTTTCAAGCAGCCTGCATAAACTTTGTTTCAGAGGTAAGGTCTCATTTATACAGGGTGTACTACAGTTTATGCCCATGCGAGACAGTGTTGACAGACACAGGGATGCACAGGTGTTCTGTGCAGTTGAAGAATCTGCAACACCTACCAGATTTAAGCCCTTGGTATACGAATAACTTGGCAAGCTGGGTGCTCCTGGGGTGGGAGGGGAAGAGACCACCCCATTCACCCTAAGACTGATGGGTAACAACAGGGGCTGCTCAGTCCATAAAGACCAACTGGATATCTCGCTTCAATGAAGAGTCTAACGACACACAGAGTGCAGTATTCTTTAGCAAGAATTTGAGATCTGCCTCACCCATTGGTTACCAATATTTACCAATGCTAGACACGCGTGTGGCCCTATTTGGTGGGTGTTTACATGTGTTTGGTCCTTCAGAAGGATTCTGAATGCAAAGGTCCAAAAAACTGACGCTCTTCAGAGAACGTCATCGGAGTGTTCCACTATGGGGATGCCAGGAATCATGGCAGTCGGGTGAAAATATGGTTCAGTGCTTCAAGAAATAGCTGGTGCCACTGAAGGACACTGAGGCATCAGGTACTTCTTAGGAAACAAGTAGGAATAACTGGTTGTGGATGAACTTGATTGTCAGAGGTTCTTCTGGAGAGGCAGAATGCCAGAGAGTACTGAGTACCATAAGGGTTTCAATAGCATCCATATTCTTGAAGGATGGAATGTAAGTCCATGTGGGAATCCCCCAAAGTCAAGTCCCCACTTAAACTAAACAAGGGGTCCCAGGGTGCGGGGAAACCCAAGAAGACCTCAGAAGATACACTGCTGTGTACAAAAGCACAAAAAAATTGAGGAAGGTCAGCTGAAAGATGCCAGACACAAGGGGCCTGCAAGATAAAAGGAGGTGACCTGAGCACCCAAATGCTAGGGACTCAAACTTAAGAACCTATCCAAAAGTACAAACAGCCCAACCCAACTGTAGAAGTGGAGGTGCACCTTTATTCAGAAAGATTATCAGAGGAATTAGCTAGCGCTTGAACAGGCACAGGCTGGTACTGTATCTTCTTACAGCTACCAGAGAGCTATAATACGAACGCCTGCTATTTACTGATTGTTGCTGACTTGGTTTTCCTGACTACTCTCACCTTCACCCTGTGTACTGCCTAATCATTGCCAACCTAGAATGCCTGACTACCCTGTACTTGCTGCCTGCCTCAGCCGCTATCTCAACCTGACTACTTTCTCTTCTGCTTCCTAGTCATTGACGACTTGGACTACCTGATTACCCTGTGCATGCTGACCGCCAAAAACCCTGGTTGTACCAGACTACTCTTTACTAGCCACCTAAAAAATCCACCTCTCAAAGATAACACAAAAGGCTCTAAAGTCAGGTTTTCCTGTGCAATGCAAAACTCACCACACAGCGCAAAAAGTAGTACTTCCACTACTTTTAAAAACAAACTGCACCAAATCATATAGTACCATAACATTTGGTGCCCTGTAAACACACGGTTTGTGATCTGGATTTGGGGTGCCATTAACAATACATTGGCACCCACAAGCAAATCGCAAAGGCAGTGCTTTTGAACACCACACACTTTCCCACATCCTGTTCTGGTGTGAACCAGCCCAGATTCAGTTGCCAACAGTTTAGTAACACCTTTAGAACGCTGGCAGACCGCCAAGATTTCCCTGCAAAAGAAATAAAACCCTTTTCATCACTGGAAGCAGTTTTGATAATGAAATGCCAATTAAACTACACACCTAGAACAACACTGTATAATAATTTGTTACACTACAATTTAGCACTTCCGTTGCACCAAACAAATAAGGTGCAATTTTTGTTGACTGGCATTTTTCTGTGCTGGATCAATGCCAGTCTCCCGGGTTCCATTTGCCCATCTGCGGGCCCAGGACCAGTCAGTGGGTACCGGCGGGTATAGGAGAGGGAGGAGAGCGAACACATCTGCTTTCCTCCCCTTCTTGTCCTGCCTGGTCCCCATTGACAGATTCCTGACCATCGAGGCCTTGAAAGAATGTAATGCAGTGTGTTGTGCACTGCATTACATTCAGAGGAGCACAGCGGAAACATGCAGGGTCTTTCCCTGGATGTCTCAAAAAAAAAAAAAAAAAAAAAAAAAAAGAGCTGGTCACCAAAAATCATCATAGGGGACTTTTTGTCCCCTATGTGATGAAAAAAAAGAAAAAAAAAAAAGGTTAAGTAAAAAAAAAAATTTTTTTTTTTTTAAAAATTCAAGTTACACCCAAGCATATAACCAACCACCCAACATTGTTCAAGGCCCCCCCCCACCCCCACATATGTACACGTAAACAAATGTAAAAGCACACGTTGGGTGCCTACGCATGAAAACGTCGATTGCTGCACACGCCAGAATGAGAGCAATATTTCTAGCAATTCGATGTAACCTCGTCTTTTATATTTTACAAAAATTGGCTGATTTATTGATTTTTGTGCCCTAAAATTAACAAGTGTATTTTTTACAGAAATTTAGCGTTTCCTAGACCTTTGTGATAATAACGTGTGACATAAAAATTTAGAACGATCGCTATTTTATTCTCTAGGATCTTGGGTTTCAGAAACCCAAGTTTTGGAGTTTTGTGTAATCTTCAGGCCTTAAAAAAAACAAAAAAAACAAACAAACCCCAAAAACTAGGGATACACTCAAATTTCGGCCACCGTTTGAAACATATCGGCCGAAAATAGCCCTATCGTCATTCTGTTGATAGGAAAAAATTTAGTCGATACAGGGGACTGTGTGTACTGCAGATGTGAGGGGCCGCAGAGAATGGCAGGAGCGGAGCAGTGTATTCAATGACTGGCTATCACTATATGTCGGTGCCAATTTTTAAACACAATTACAGGCTTTTTTTTTTCTCTTCACTATAGCTCACAGAATTAGCTGTCACTTTCCCCCAGCTAAAAGAAACAAATGTTTCCTTTTAGTTTATATCCTGTGATAAAAGAAACAAAGTTTCCTTCAGCTCCAGGAAAGTGACAGCTAATTCTGTGAGCTATAGTGAAGGAAAAAAACCCGGTAAAATCAGCACCAACATATAGTGACAGCCAGTGGGGGAACCTCTCTGTATACACTGCTCCTCTCCTGCCTCCTCCACTGCTCCTCTCCCCACCTCCTCCCCCCTACAAAGAGGACCTGTCACTCGTATGCCATCACATATATATTGGTCCCCTATGTGATAACAATAAAATCATAAGTAAAAAAAAAAAAAAAAAAAAAAAAAATCTACATGAAAGTAGAAAAAAAATACAAAAAATAAAAATTGGAGCCTCCCCCACAACCTCATACACAGACATTTCGGTTCGGTTTCCAGCCACATGCATTCTGAATTTTCTGTATTGGTTTCGGCACCAGAATTTTCATTTCGGTACACCACTAGCAGCTCTGGTAGCAAAAGGGATAAAGTATAAGCCAGCCCGGCACTCCCCTTTCCTGATGAGCACCCAATCAGTGCTCATTACACTGCAAGGTCCCCCTTCCCCAGTCTGTCATAACAGAAAGGTCAACAACAGTTCATTTTAACGTACAGATTTTGAGAACAAGCCCTAAAAGGCAATTGTGAGATAAAAGGATAATTAAAATTGAAATTATTCATTATCAAATTGTAAAGATATTCAAATTAAATTTAACATTGATGCACAGTTAAGCACAGCAATAAATAAGCTTGAGTTTTATCTTAATCTGTTTACTTACCGGATCCAAACCCAACACCTCATATGGATTGTATTCTTGATATTCTTTATCTGTTTTTGAAACTTTATAGGCAAGAAAAAGGAATACTGCCCATCCAAAAAGCAAAACTACTTTCCTAATACATTGGACAAAGAGAAAAAAAAAAATAAACACATTTTCAAAAGTAGAATGGTATACAAAAGTATTATGAACTATTGCTCTTTAAAAACAACATGTTATGGGATCTGTGGCTGGTTAGCTGCAACTGAATTTATGGCTTTCAAACATGGCTCTGTAACGTACATGCAAGGTCATTTTGTTAAGATCAGATGCAGCTCAGGTGTTGTATGTCAGTATAGATTATCTTTATTCCACAGTGACCATGTACAGAGCTCATATAAGAAGTAATTGATTAACTCTTTGTAGACATTTATTAGCAAAGCTGTGCTGCCTGAAAGTAATTAATATATAGTAATGGTATTCATCATTCAACTGTGTGTCAGTTATAAGATAACATCACCTTTCTCGACATGTTACACCCGTGTTTAGAGTGCAACATGTTGAGCATCCAGCCCCTCACCCCCCATCTATCCCTTCCTTGTGACATCAGGCGGGGGGAATCTTCTCCCCACACTCACTGTCACAATTTAAAAGAGTTCCGTGAATGAATGCCTACAAGTAGACAAGTCAGACATTGTGGCTCATGGCTTGTAAATCTCAAACTGCAAGGGCACTTGTGAGCACTCTCATAGTCCATTGAGCTTCCTGGACTTCAGTAACTGCCTGCCCATATTGGAGCTACAGTCAGACAATGTATTGACAATCTGCAAGAGCCTGACATTGCACCCTTGTTCTGATGATCTCAGGTGCAAGTCTTTACAGATCCAAAACACAAAAAAAAATAATAAATGCACTTTTTTACCTGTAGACAAATGTGCAGTTATTTTTTTTTAAAGGTAAACGTGTCCTTTAATACTGACACATGCATTGTGAGACAGCCACACTGATCACCTGATCATCACACCCAAATTACATTGTTGAACACTGCCCTAGTTTGGCAGCTATAGCAGTCTCCAGCATTTTGCTTTCCACAAGATTTTGCAGTGAGTCTGAAGAAATGTGTGCCTATTTAGCCAAAAAAAATTTGTTGGGGTTATGTACAGATGTTGAAAGAAGACCTGGCTCCTGATCAGCATTCCAATTTATACCAAAAGTGTTCAACAGAGATGAGGTCAGGGCTCTGTGCTGGCCACTTGTGTTCCTCCACACCAATACTCATCTAACCATATCTTTACTGATGTGGCTTTCCGCTCAGTCCCGTTGGAATCGAAAACGGCCTTCCCAAACGCTTGTTACTTGCTGGATTTGCAAACTTGTTTAACCCTTTACGACTGCCCAACACACTGTGCAGAGGCAAAAGGGTTGGCTTTAACTTTGACTGCACCATAAGCATCACTAAGCAGCCGGAGTTTGTGTGCCTATTCGGCGCTCACTGCGCACTCTCCGCACAAAGGCTAAGCTGTCTCAGTCTGTAACTACAGTGATCGGCTTTCGATCATTTAACCACTGTGACAAGCGTCACAACATCGCTGATCCTTGTGGCCCCCCCATGTGTTCTGAACTGTTGAAAAGGATGCCAGTGCAAGGGGAAGGGGTTAAACATCAATAAAATTTACATAAAACTTTACTGTAACACATACATTTGGTCACACAGTGTAGGTCTAAGCCAGATGTCCAGAAACTTTTGACCATGTAGTGTAGAAGTGACCGCGGCACAACCAAAGTATAACTAAAAGGCAGAATGTTTTTTGGTAGGGCTGAGAGGGAATAGAACACCTGTCAGGTTTTTACCGCTGTCTGTGCCCCCGTTAGGAAGATTCACCCTCTCCATATGTCCTGTGTACCAAATTTTGGATTGTCACCAGAAAAGGAATACAGGGTAAATTCCAATCAAGACACTTGTTCTGGTTACCTTGGTAACAACCAGGGATTTTTTCTCACTTCTTGTTTGGCTATGGGACAGGAGGTGAAGGAAAATGTCCCCAATAGGACACAGATGGCAAAAAAATAAAATAAATAACAGGGGTTACAACCCCCCTTGCTCTAGCCAAAATGAAAGAAAATAGTTTTGATTTCAGTGCTTTAATTAACAGGCACATATGTACAGCACATCAAGGACATGGTATTTTATCATTAGCTGTATAGTACCAATAATGGTAAGGAAATATTATTAGTATACTTGCAATGGGCAGGAACTTAAAAAAAAAAAAAAAAAAAAAAAACAGCTGAAATGTTTACAATATTTTAACCGCTTCCGCACTGTCCTATAGCAGAAATACTGTTGCAGGGCGGCACGGGTGCACAAAATCACATTATATACACACACGATTTTGCAGTTCTGGGTAGGGGGCGCACATGCGCCCTAACCACACCATTAGCGGCCTTGGCTGTCAATCACTGGGTCCCGACCGGTGATTCCCCACCAGCACCCGGTAATTTCCGAGGATTTTCGACAGAGGAGAGACCTGTTTATAAACAATACAGATCTCTCTCCTGTCAGCTCCTGCGCACTGCTTTGGATGGCTCTGCATTGCAGAGCCTTCCAAAGCAGTGTGCTTACACTGAAAAACAGCACATCCTCTCAGTAAAACAGCACACAGTTAACCCTTTGATCGCCCCACGTTAACCCCTTCCTGCCCAGTACAATTAGTACAGTGTCAGTTCTTTTTATTAGCAACGATCACTGTATTGGTGTCACTGGGGATGTCAGTGACACCAAGTCAGTTCCCCCCAGTGTCAGAATGCCCGCTATAAGTCACTCGCCGCCATTGCTAGTAGAAAAAAAAATTCCAGTATATTATACTGAGATTTGTAAACACTATAAAACTTTCACGAAAACCAAATTAAATTTACACGTATTAGGATTTTTTTTTTTTTTTTTTTTTTTTAGCAAAGACATGTAGCAGAATACATTTTGGCCTAAATTTATGATGAAATTTGATTTTCTAAATTTTTTTTACCGGACATGTGTAACAGCGAAAATATAGGTTTTGTTTTCAAAATTGTCGGTCTTTTTTTGTTTATAGCGCAAAAAATAAAAACCGCACAGACGATCAAAAATACCACCAAAAGAAAGCTCTATTTGTGGGGAAAAAAAGAATGTAAATTTCATTTGGCTGCCATTCATTCTTAATTGTGCCTCAAAAGTGTTGCAACTTTGCCACAATTGCCATGCAAGAGAATCACGCAGCAAAACGCATCGCGCAAAGCTGTCGCCCAAAAGAAGTTCCTTCTCCTTTTTGGGTGACAAGCTTTGCGCGATGCACAAAATCACACTGCGTTTGAAGTGCCATTGTGAATGAATGGCACCCATACACGCATGGTGCATTTTTGCCACAATTGCAGTACATTTTGGAATCGTGGGCAGAATCTCAGCGATTCTGACCGAGATTCAAAATCACGATGTGTTGAATGGAGCCTAAAATCTCTCTGCCATAATCCCTTGCACTCTTTCTATTCTTGGCTTTTTGAATGTACCTGACCAGCTTTGGATATTTCAGCAACTACTGTAAAAAATAGGGGGACCCCTCATATTGGCCACTGTAGGATATCACTGATGATATACAAGAAACTGGCATGTGGTTTGCCTCTCTAGCATCAATAAAAAAAAAAAAAAAAAATCACACAAAACCAACACAAATATATAACTGAATATAGTACTTACTTTATTGTGGGAACTATATTTTGCTGTGGCTTGATAGACCTCAGCTGGTACCATAAACAACTTCGATATACATGGCGTATGTTCTTCAGTCTTACTTGTTCTAAACAAAAATTTAAAAAAAAATATGAATATAGTATTTCACTTACATATCACTGCATAATACTAGAATGAATTATAAAAACAAATGCAGAAAAATGAAAATGGTGGATTGAATTGAGGTTGAAAATTTTAGTGCCCAGCTTTAAGTGAATTTATTACATTAAGATATAAATTCAAAGCTAGCTGTATCATTATGGACATGAGAATATAATCCACCCACAAATTCATAACTCTTAAAAGTTAGATATATTATCTTATACATATCTTTTGGACAATTTTGGTCAAATAGTGTGTTATGATTTTTGGTTTTCTCAGAAAAAAGGTTAGCCCTGCCTCTATAAATAACAAACATGTCATGCTTAACTGCTCTGTACAATGGTTTTGCACACAGCAGCCCCAATCCTTCTCTTTTTGGGTCCCCCGCCTGAGCTCCTGGCCCCCTCCTGCCAAGTGCCCCCATAGCAAGCAGGCTCGCTCCCAAGCCGCTGCTCTGTGTGTCCAATCACACACGGAGTGCAACTCTGCCCCGCCACTGCTCTATCCTCATTGGCTCCGCGGCTGTGATTGACAGGAGCCAATGGCTACAGCTGCTGTCTCAGCCAATGAGGTAGAGACCTGGGAGAGCCTAGAAATGGTGAATCAAATAGCAAGGGGACCCCTGCAGGAACATTCAGAAAGTACTAAAAGGGAATCCAATTGCCTAAAAGAGGTAGACTCTCACAGTGAGCACCGTGTTAAGACAGTGGAGAGAAAATTTCCTTGGGCTGTTTTAAAGCAGGACATAAGTAAAGAAGGAAGATATGTTGGTTGAGTTGGAAGGAAGAAAACAACCTTAGGGAGGAATGAGACCCCAAGACAACCTTGCCCTTGTGCAATATTAAGGACCCTTGCACTTTAGGCCATCTAGCTATAGTGTCCCCAGGTTCAGCATCCAGTCCTGTTGCTTTCAGTCTGTCAAAGTTTATAGCAGACTGCGACTGGACAGGTCTAAATGCTTTACTGGAGCAGAACCACATTTAGGGTCTTTTGTGTTCAAGGACTAAAGTCTGGAACGCAGGTCTTCCGTAAGAAATTGACCCAGAGGGGAGTCTTGCTTGTGGCCTCTTATCTACGACACAAAAAAAAAAAAAAAAAAAAAAAAAAACACACCTCAGTTCTGCCCTTGAAATCAGAAACGGCGACAGAAAATTCAGTACAAGGTGGGCTGAGGGCTAGGAGCATAGGCAGGAAATCAGGCTGGGGGCAATTATCTGATTAGAGGGTACTAGGAGTGCTGAGGCATCCTACTTTTTTCCCCCTATACTGTGGATATGGCAAACAATAAAAATAACAGTGGTGTTAAATTCCACCAAAAGAAAGCTCTATTTGTGTGAAAAAAAGGATCAAAATTTCATATGGGTATAGTGTTGCTTGAATTTACTATTGTCATGCAAAGTGTGAGCGCTGAAAGCTGAAATTTTCCTGGGCAGGAAGGGGGTGAAAGTGCCCAGTAGGCAAGTGTTTAAAAAACTGGCTCCTAGATTCAAAGCAAATTTGTCAAGTCCTGGTTAAAAGTGTACTTCTACTTTTGCAGTCAAAATTATAAAACAAAAAAAACTACTTTTTATTTGTTATACAGTCATGGCCAAAAATATTGGCACCCCTGCATTTCTGTCAGATAATGCACCACTTCGCCCAGAAAATTGTTGCAATTACAAATGTTTAGGCATTCTCAAGTTTATTTCTTTTGTTTGTATTGGTATGACACAAAAAATAGTGGAGAAACAAAAAACCAAATCTGACACTCCACACAGAACCCCCAAAATGGACTGGACAAAATTATTGGCACTTTCTCAAAATTGTAAGAAATTGCATTCCAAGTTTGTGATGCTCCTGTAATTTGTAATGAAACTCACCTGTATCAGTTAACAGATCGTAATGTTCCTGTGTCCACTGTGCGCAACATTGTCAAGAAGTTTACAGCCCATGGCACTGTAGCTAATCTACATGGACATGGACGAAAGATAAACTTGATCAAAGATTGCAACAAAGGATTGTTTGAATGGTGGATAAAATAACCTTGATCAACTTCCAGACAAATTCAAGTTGACCTTCAGGCACAGGGTACAACTTGCACGATACATTGCATTCTGAATGAAAAGGGACGCTATGGTGGGAGACCCAGGCGGACCCCACTGTTGACACAAACATAAAAAAGCGAGATTGGAGTCTGTCAAAACTTACCTGAGGAAGCCAAAATCCTTTTGGGAGAATGCGCTGTAGACAGATGAAAGAAAAGTACAGCTTTTTGGTAAAGCCAATTATTCTACTGTTTTCAGAAAAAGAAATTAGGCCTTTAAAGAAAAATAATACAGTCCCTACAGTCAAACATGGTGAAGGTTCACTGAGGTTTTGGGGTTGCTTTGCTGCTTCAGGCACTGGATATCTTGACCATGTGCATGGCATTAAGAAACCTAAAGACTATCAAAGAATTCTGGATTGCAATGTAGGGCCCAGTGTCAGAAAGTTAGGTCTCTGTCAGAGGTCATGGGTCTTACAGCAGGACAATGACCCAAAGCACACATCACAAACCACCTAGAATTGTTTTTATTTCTTTTTATTTTAATTTATTGGAGCTTACAGAAAACATTTTTATACATACTCATCTACAACTTAAATTTTTCAAAACCGTTTTTCCCCTCCCCCGAACCTCCCTTTTTTCCTTCTCTTATTGTTCTGTCTACATTTTTCCTCTGACCTTTTACCATCTCCCACCCTCTCCACAATCAGCACAGTGAGCCTCTGTGCAAGTTTAAACTCGCTCCAACCTTTCCAGATTTTCCTAAATTTGCCCATTTTGTCTTCTCCACTATAGTATAATTCCACTCAGAATTGTTTTAAGGCAAAGCTCTGGACAATACTAAACTGGCCAGCAAAGGCGGACTGACAACTCAGGGAGCCCCTGGGCAATAGTGGATCATGGGGCCCCTGTGTCCTTGCCCAAACTCAAAAAAGCCTATGAGGAAAAAAAAAAAAAAAAAAAAAAAAAAAAAAAAAAAAAAAAAAAAAAAAAAAAAAAAAAAAAGGTACTAGGGGCATCTCATGGGGCCCCCTACTGACCCCGGGCCCTCGGGCAGTGCCCGAGTTTACAAATGGTCAGTCCGCCCCTGCTGGCCAGCAATGGGTCCAGATCTCAATCCCATAGAGCACCTGTGGAGAGATCTCAAAACAGCAGTTGGGGAAAAGGAACCCTTCCAATCTGAGATACCTGGAGAAGTTGGCGAAAGAAGAATGGTCAAAAATTCCAGTAGAGAGGTGTAAGAAACTCATTGATGGTTACAAGAAGTGATTGATTTCAGTTATTTTTTCCAAGGGGTGTGCTACCAAATATTAAATTGAGGATGCCAATAATTTTGTCCAGTCCATTTTAGGGGTTTTGCGTGGAATGTTTCAGATCTGGCTTTTTGTTTCTCCACTTTTTTTTGTGTCATACCAATACAAACAAAAATAAACAGGAGAATGCCTACACATGTGTAATTGCAACAGTTTTCTGGGCAAAGTGGTGCATTCTGGGATGACAAATGCAGGGGTGCCAATAGTTTTGGCCATGACTGTTTACAACCACTTGAAGTTATGCCATGTTATTGGGGGCAAAGGATAAAAGGTTTTTTGTACCTTAATGCACTCCTTGCATGAAGGTAAAAACCTTTTTACAAGCAGCTCACCAATGCGATCCCCCCCCCCCACCTAAATACTTACCTGAGCCCAATCTCAATCCAGCACTGTGCCTGAGAGCAGAATCTGACTCGGTGAGAGAGCAGGATCATTGGCTACTGCTGCTGTCAAACAAGGGGCAGGGCAGAACCATACGTGTGTCAATAGATGCACACAGTGTGACTCAGGATTGAGCCAACACAAGTGCCCTCATATCAAGTGGCTTGCTAGCTATGGGGGCACTTGGAATGCAGGAGGGGCCAGGAGCATCAGTGGGGGACCAGGGCTGCTCTGTGCAAAACCACTGCACAGAGCAGGGAAGTATAAACAGGTTTTTTTTTTTATTGTTTTAAGAAATAACAAAACTGTACAATCACTTTAAAAAGATAACCAGCAAAAAGATAACCAGCAATTCTTAAAGTGATTGTAAACGCTCGGGCTCCGCAAACGCCGCATTTAGTTTTTTTCCTTTTTAATTTGAAAAACGCCCCGAACAAACAAACGCCGGCCGGGCGTTTGCGGAGCGGCACATCATCTGCTCTCCGTGCAACAGAATTGCTGTAACAGAGCAGAGGCTCTAGTACGCCTCTCTGCCGCCTGCACACAAGGCTTCTGTGGTACTCATCTGCTCCCGTCGACGCTCTTCTGGCTCTTCTCTCTTCTTGGTGTACCACATAGGAAGCCACAACCTATGGTGGGGCACCTGCAGGTCAATCCTGAGCTGTCTGTATTGTGACAAAGTCATTGTGTGACTCCCCAAAAATTCTTACAATTAACCATGACACCTTCCCCTAAGAAATCTAAAAAAGGTAAGTTTTTTTGTTTGTTTTTTTTTAAAGGTATGCTGTGTGAATAGGAACACATAAGCGTACAGTATTGCAGAATTTTCTCAAATCTGACTGCAAAAGTGGAAAATGCTTTAAACCTTCTGTGCCAGGTACTAGCATTCTGCACCCAAGTAGGCATCCAGAGATTGCTGTTCTTTACTGTGGCGGGAGTTGCTGGTACCAGCCAAAAAAATGTGTATTCGTAGAAGAAAAATGCTGCACATGCTCAGTGAAGCAGCTGAGAACAAGGTATACAGGCATATTAGTGCCAGATTCAACAGACTTGCACCAGAATAAGGACAAAAAAATGAAAAAAAAAAAAAATAAACACAAATACTAAACAGATGGTGGCTTCTATCCATGGCTGCAACACACTATTTGAAGTGTCACAGCCCTCTTTTATAAGTGGCTGAGGCATAGGAGCACCAGTATCTTGGGGCAATGGCAGATTAAAGAGTGCATGCCAGAACAGGATACAATG